TATATATATATATATATATATATATATATATATATGAATGTGATATATTGACCGAGAAATTTATTAATTAAATATTCTCTTTTACTTTAAGATTATGAATCTGTTAATATACTCTGATTATACATCTGTTTATCTTGCTGTCATTTCCTCTCAGCCAATAAGCGCAGTGGTTCTCCTACTTCTCTGGAGGCACGGCAGCTCCACAAGATCCACTTAGTGCTGACGTCATTAAGCTGCTTACGGCAGCAGGTGAATGGAGGCAGAACTGACAAAGATTTGTTTACATCGATGTTGGACTAAATGATATTGCGGACAGCATTATGACGACTTGTTTTAGTAGAAAGTAGAATATATACTGACCTAACGGATTATCGATCCAGATATTTCTAAGTGTGGACTTTGTGAGTGATCCAAGCAGCCGGGATGGAGTGCAGCGGCCAGGTAACTGCTGCGTCATCAGTGGGCTACATGACAATGTTGTAAACTGACTAGTTGTGTAAAGAGGCATGAAAAGGGTGCTGACAATGGTGATCCTCCACTTTCTTAAGTTGTGTGTGGCAGGTAACAGCAGCACCCATAGTATATATAAAGTCCTAGTGAGGGAATAAGGTAGCTCTGATAACAATATCTGAAAATAGCCCAGTGCAGAACACGCACACACACAAGAATACATATTTCTGGTTCTGTCTCACCTCCACCTGCAATTAGCTTAACTTAACTTTTGCAGCTGTGAGCAGCACTTCCATTTCCTTTATGCATGCACTGCATTGTGGGACAATAGTGACCACCAACTGCACACTGTAAAATGAAACGTTTTTAGTCTGCATACCTTTGCAGTGGTGATAGAAAAAAATCATCCTTATTATTTTCATGAAAGTAGCAATATCTTAGTCTAAAAGTACTACATTACAAGTAAAATCCCATTTGAAAATGTACTTAAGTAAGGAAGTATTATCAGCAAAATATACTTAAAGGGGCTATATTCCAAATTCAAAGTAAGCGAGATTGCCTCCACATGGCTCTCAACATGGTGACGGCTGAGCCGGCAGCTGTCAGCTAACAGTGCTGACTTTGCTAACAGTGCAAACAATGGCAGCAGTGGTGACAGAGCTAACAGTGTGTACCCATGATGACGCCGCGGGTTAGGACGTCATTATCAGTTGTAACCGCCGTATGAGCGCAGTGCAGAGTAACGTCCACTGGCCATGAGCTAGCCAGTGGGGGCCACACACTGGGACTCACATGCACTAACATGTAGAAAAAGGCATGAGGACCTGCCCGGCTATGTCAACAAACCACAGTGAAGCTTGGACAACAACACACACACAGAGGGTACATCCCAAGTCTCTTAATTGTGTCCACATTTCCCTCACTTGCGTTTTTTCATCGCTCATGGCTCCTCCGAGATCCAAGAAAATAAGAAAGAAGAGCTTTGGACGGCCGTCAATATGGAGGAGCAGAAGAAGCAAGGATCGAGGAGTGAGGAAATTAAAAAAAAGAGACTTGGGATGTACCCAGAGAGTGACTTCATTCTCTGCTCAGGTGGATATTACTCCACTATATCTTTACATGTCTGCTGCTACATTAATACTCTGGATTTCAAATATAGCAGCTTTAAAGTAAGTTATAAAAAGTAAAATTACTTATAATGCAGAAGAATGGCAGCCGTCAGTGATAAATGGTTGCATTACTTATTACTGATACGTTAATATCAGATTGTAGCACTTGTAAGTTATCCCGGTGGAGTAGCTTACTTTATGTTCAGTTGTGTAATTCAATGTAACAGTACAACAAGTGGACTGGTAAAAATATACCTCAAATAAATATAGAGGAGTAAAAAGTAACATACTTCCCACTGAAATGTTGTGAAGTAGAAGTATAAAGTAACGTAGGATGGAAATACTGACACAAGTATGTCAAAATTGGACTTAAGTGTAGTACTTAAATTGTTCTACTGCTCTTTTAAGTAAAACAATATTCCGTTTGGTCTTAAGTTTCTGTCTGTTCAGTGTGAATACATCACAAAACATGCTTAGTGTGCTTTGGTGCCTAGTGTGGAATTGGAAGACAGTATCTGTGTGCATGTTTTCATTCTTCTCTCCAACAGAACACTGATCACCATGTTGATAAGTGAGCTAACTGTGTAACATTCACCTGCTTTAACCTCTCTCTCAATCCAATCCACTCAGCATGGGTCTAATTGATAATTTGAGTTTAGTTGTAGATTACTGCTGGTGGTTGCTTACATAGGGCAGCAGATTTCAATCTACTCTGAGCGCTGTTTTTGATACTGGATGCATGGGAAGGGCCACAATGTGCTAGTAGTTTTGTAGTGATGTTTTGCAGGTTCATCACAACTATACAGTGCTTTGTTTGTTTTACGGGTTAGTATTACGTTCCTGCTGAAGATTAATATAGGCTTTCAAACTCCTTTTCAAATCTTCCTGCCACAGCAGGTCCACTGACACTCCTCTCCACAGATATCATACAAAGACTATATAACACATACAGAAAATATTATAGGAAACATCACCATATGTACTTAGAGCAGAGCTAGAGAATCAAACATATTTACACTTTACAAACATAAGAGAATGTTTTACACTCTGGTTTACCCTCCACCATCAACGGCTAACATTCAATGAAATCTCAGTTTTGTGCCAAAAGTAGAACTGAAGTAGTGAAGAGTTATGTCACAATTCAAACACTTCTAAAACCTTATGTTAATATGAATTGGACACATCTTAAAACAGTATCAATTTTGGTCTCTGCTTTCTTCATATTGATTAGAAGAACAGTACATAGAACAGAAACTGTTTAGCTTTATAACATTAAACATTTTTCAAAGCAAGCCTGTTAAATTGCTGTGGGGTGTCTTTGCTTCTGCAAACCGTACTGTAAGAAAGTGAAATAGTCTTGTTTAAACAGAAGAATTTAAACTTTAAGACCTCTACCACGTGTGCGAGTTGTCTGGTAAATGCAGACCTTTATCTGTGTTTCTGTGTCATAACAACAGGTGACACCCCAGCTGATGATGGCTGCGGGGACAGCTGTGATTGGCTCTCTCCAGTTTGGTTACAACACTGGTGTCATCAACGCTCCTCAGAATGTGAGTATTTACTGTAGTTGTGTGAGTGAAATAGAAGGAAGGAAAAAGGAAAATAAATATAAAGAATATATAGAAATAAATAGAAAGAATACAAACAAATGTGTGAGAATAATGACGGTGGGAATTGGCAGTGCCATACAACAACATGTACTCATAATACTCAAGGTGTTTTGGTGGAAGCTGAATCCATGTGATACATTCACTGCCTTCACCCAGCATTTATTTAGGGAACTAATTTAGTCCAGTTGATTCTGATTGCAGCCGCGACCGCTTTGATTGGCTCATGGGGTAAAAGAACGCCCACTCTTACTTCTTCTTAGTTGGTTATTACGGTACTGTTCACTCCTCCTTGCTGGTAGACTACTTTGCCAGAAGGAGAGCAGACGGGAGCTCCGGTGAAGTAGTCTGCCAAAGATAGGGAGTGAAATGGGGTGAACGAGCTAGCTAATGCTAGCTCTTGTCTCATTTGTGGTCTGATAAACAGTACATCAGGACATCTATGTACCGTACTTACTTAACCAACACTCCAAAATGACAGAAGACAACAAACCAAGATGAGCTTTATTCATATTCACACTGGGCAATGGCTATCTTGTGTAGGCTGAGGATGTTTTTACTTTATTAGCATCAATACATGTTGATTCGCTTGCTAGAAGCTATCTAGCTTTGTTAAGCTTGCAAGCTAGCTAGTTTTGTTGAGATGGAGTTGGTATAACTTACCTAGGTAACACGAAGCAAAGAATTTGACAAAAAGTGACTTAAATTGCTTAGCTTTGCATTACATGCTTAGCCACTGATTAGACCGTCACAAACAGGTCAATTAAGCAACAAACCAATGATCTATGTGAGCTTTCCTGTCATGTTGGAGCACCTCTCCACTCCTCCATCAGAGCCGTCTCGATTTAGTTCACCTTGACTGAAAAGATCCATCTAGAACTTTAGATTCTTGTGTGGTTCCACAGAGACTTTTTATTTAGGCAAGATAAATGCACACTTTATTTATGTAGCCCAGTGAAAAACAGGGTTAACTTATGTCGGTCAGTTGCCTCCGAAGGTGCTTTGACAGATATCGGAAAAGACAGGGAACAGGTTAATGAGATGCATTTGTTGGAGGCATTAAGGATTAAGGAGCTCAAGGTTACCAGGCAAGTTAATGAACTTGTGCTTACAGGGGGGCTACCAAAGGTCATGTGACCCTTTAAGGTTATTGTGACAATAATGTGAAAGACCCAATGGGGAAAATTTACAAACAAAGTATAATGATGCATAGTGGGTTGATGTTCCTCCAACTAATTTCCTATAAGACATTTTATTGATGAATAATATGTATGCTTACTAATCTATGCTACCATGCACATTGACTTAGAACAGTTGTCCTGAACACTGCATCAGTATTAAAGTAAGACCTAACCATTAAAAGGGGGGAAATGGGTTTAGCTAATGGGTCAAGAAGTGGTTGGTCCCATTTGATTCAGTAGTGTATGGTTGTATACTGGGATGTGATATTTGGAAGTGAAGTTAGGGATGACAGCATGTAAGACCCCTACTTACACCTTGTATTAACATGCAATCTGTATTTGTATATCTTCCATCTGGACAAGGAACAACTAAGAGTCTACAGCTGTTATTAGTGGCTCTGTGAGGCTGTACTTTGGCACAGCAGAGCTTTGAGCTAAATGCTATGCTAATATGCTCACAATGAAATGTTTACATGGCAGTTTTTAGCAGGTATAATATTAACCATCTTTGTTTGGAAAACATTTGAAAAGTAGTGCTGATGCTTGGTGTATTTAGTCTTTTACTCAAGCAAACTACGAGACTGTTATAAATTTGACTTGTAGGTGGAGCTGGAGGAAAAGGAATAGGATCAACAAAGTTAGAATAGTTCATCATCTGGGGACCATGAATGTCTGTAATCCATCCCATAGTTCTTGAGACATATCAGTCTGAACAAAAAATATAAACGTGATGATGGTGCTCCAGGAAAAGTTAAGGGATCCCTGAAGTCAATAAGTGGTGGACCAAGTGACTGACCGACATTGTTGAGAGCCACGCAACAAAAGCTGAGACAAGCAGGTTCGGTCTGTCTTTATTGATCCGACACATTGAGTCAGAATGTGTGTTGTTTTATGTTCTAGATTATTGAAAGTTTCTACAATGAGACGTGGAGCAGCAGATTTTCAGAGCCCATCTCTCAAGGTACTTTAACAGGTCTGTGGTCGCTCTCTGTGGCCATCTTCTCTGTGGGAGGAATGTTCGGCTCTTTCTCTGTCGGCCTCTTCGTCAACCGCTTCGGCAGGTAAGACTCTTCCTATGGCCATAACACTTTATTAATATCACCTGCCCCTTGAAATGACAAACACTCTTATTTTCTCTAAAGGAAGAACTCCATGCTCATGGCCAACATGCTCGTCTTTATTGCTGCTGCGTTTATGGGCTTCTCCAAGCTGGCCGCTTCCTTTGAGATGCTCATCATTGGACGTTTCATAGTGGGTCTCTACTCCGGCCTCAGCACCGGCTTTGTGCCCATGTATGTTGAAGAAATCTCACCCACATCTCTGCGTGGCGCATTAGGAACTCTGCATCAACTTGGTGTAGTGATCGGTATTCTCATGGCACAGGTGAGATCCTTACTGCAACTCTTGAACTATGACTGCCTCTTCATTTCCCATCTCCAATAGCTTTAGGGCCTTTACACACAAAAAAACCCCAACACCTTCAAATGTGAATGTTCAGGCTGCCATAGCTGGTATTCAAAGAATGGAGTCTTGAATAATAGCCGACAGGAGAAATAAAAGCTGGATAAAAAACATTGATGAGGAGAAGAATTATCTTCAATATAATGTACATATCCACAGTCATAAACCACCAGTGTGAAAGAGATAAAGTGTTTTCAGCACACTAGTGACTTTGACATGACTCTGTTGTTGATACAGTTAGTTCTGGGGAAAGGTGCATTACAGGTTATCAACAGTTAAAATGGAGGACATTTTGAGTCTGTTAGAGACATAAAGACCTGCTTCTCTGCAGCTGAGGCCCCAACAGTACAGTAAGTACTGTAAGTACATCCCTAAGTTGGTAAACTTAGGGATGTTGACTATAGATGTCGACATGCACACAATAATCCAGTCATAATGAGATTAAGGTATTAATGTCAGTCGGGCCGAGCCACCACATTGTCAATGTGCCAATGTGATAATGCTGATAGTCGGAGTAAACACATTAATCCTCACACAGCGGTCTCAACATGTGAGTCCCGCCTCTCTAACAAACCGAAATAAGGTTGAGGTTGAGGTTGAGCTCGGAGCGTTCGTTCTCTTCTCGTGTTCTAATTCAAACTTCCAGACTGTGCAGATGTAACGGCTATGTGGTCACATTAAGTGATACCCTCCAATCTCCAATAATTACCTTTTGAAAAAATAAAGTGAATGAAATTGTGGCAGGGGAGTCAAAAAAGAAAACACACACACACACACAGACAAATGCATGGAAGTTCACACATGACAGGCAATGCAGGTTCAACAGTGTATAAATGTAACAACATTCAAATATGTTTTTGATAAAAACTGCAAATACTTTATATGTTTGTGGGTTTATATATTTATGTGTGCATCAAAAATACAGTTGTGAACATTATACTTTGTATGTGGATTTTTGAATACATCTATATATGATACATATTTGTGTGTGCATTGAAACACAATGTCGCTCACATATAAATCATGAAATACATTCGTGTTACACATGCACACACTCAATGTACTAATATAAAATATGTGAAAGCAAAGTGTCGCGTGTGCTGTGCAGATCTTTGGGACTGAATCCATCTTGGGGAATGCCTTCCTGTGGCCCCTCCTGCTGGCTTTCACTCTGCTGCCGGCTGTGCTGCAGTGTGTCCTGCTGCCCCTCTGCCCTGAGAGCCCCCGATACCTGCTCATCAACTGCAACGAGGAGAGCAAAGCCCGCAGCAGTGAGAAACACACACACACACACACACACACACACACACACACACACACACACACGCGCAAACACAAGTCATCAATGCTTTTCTACAAGCTACTGTAGTGAAATGAGCTTGGCTGTCAGAAAGAAAGGTTGGTAATACTTCATCATTAGACCATGCATATCCTGCCACATCCTGCACCTTCAGTGTGTGGCAGCTTAATGAGTCCCCCTCCAAGCTGACTTACATGTAACTTGAGCCGCTGTCTTCCAGTCTTGGTGAAGCTGCGGGGCACTGACGAGGTAACTGAGGACATGCAGGAGATGAAAGAGGAGAGCCAGCAGATGATGAGGGAGAAGACGGTGACCATCCCCGAGCTGTTCCGCTCCCCCATATACCGCCAGCCTATCTTTGTGGCCATCATGATGCAGCTCTCGCAGCAGCTGTCTGGAATCAACGCTGTAAGTCAAAGGACCAAAGAGGAGCCGATGAGGTCTGCCAAATGCTATGATCAAATGAGGGACAAGTTAGTGACTGTACCATCCCAAGGAAGAATATAAATTGATAGGTCGTACAGTAGATTCCTCTTCCTCTCTTCCTCTGGAGGAATATTTAACCCAGTGCTACACCTTCACTGCCCTTTCACCAGGTACATGCAGTACCTGTACATGGCATTATGTGAAAAATCACTTTCTGACCTCACCCCTTTCAAGTTTTAACTATTTTTTTCCAACATGTTAACCTATAGGAGAGATTATTAGAACGGGGCTTGATTAAACACAATGACCAACCATTCAGGAGACAGGCCCTCAAAGTTGACCCAAAGTTGACCCTCCTATAGACACAGATATCTTCTTAAAAAATAAATATAACAGTATTGTTCTCTGATTATCAGAACGCTAATGAACAAGGTTATCCACAATTTCAATACTTTTGCTAAACATTTTTGGTCCTTAAATCTTAATAAGCAAAAAAACGTAATCATTTTAATATGCTATACAGAGACACTTTACATCTTCATGTGGTCCTGGCTATCCCTTGAGCAACAGCAGACTTTTGAGTATGTGGTGGTTAGATCAGTCCAACACGTGAATCCTTAAAGGTGCAGTGTGTAGGATCTGGTGACATCCAGTGGTGATGTAACAGATTGCAACCAACTGCAACTTCTGCTGTGTGCCAAGTGTGTAGGAGAACTTGTGGTGGAAAAAAACAATTCAATAGCACCGAGTGAGTCCTATAATACTGAATACTGAAACAAGAAACATTGAGGAAAGAAGTTTGTCTTTAAAGTATTTATTCTCTGGCCAGAGAAGGCTTCACCGTCATACTGACTGCAGTTCAGTCTGCAGAGGATGAGCCAAGAATCCAGTGTCTCGCTTGCTTATAAGCATCTCAGCACACAGGGTGGGGGAACATCAGGTATTTACATTATCACAATACAAAGCAGTTACAAGCTCCGCATTGACCCCTCCAGTCACCCCCTTCCTCTTCTGAGCCTTGTCACACAAAGACATGTGTCTTTATTACTCTTGCCTATCTCTGAGAATCTTCACACCTCAACATTCTCTGGTTGAACAGCACCCCACCATTTGGTTACTTCCTCTTATCAAAGCAAAAGCCCAAGATACACCATATGGTCCTGTTACCACTCTTCTAGGTAACAATCATATGTCACATATATAGTTTTGTAGTGAGTAAGGCACATAAACTAAATCACAGTAGAAATGTAGTAGCACAGGGAAAATTCTCTATCACAAACTAGTGGCCAAGGCAAAATTGTGAAACCACAAAGCGCCCTATCAAAAGCAAGTTTGGTTTGTTCGCTCTGGGCTACTGTAGGAACATGGCTCCGTGAAGACGACATATATCTACATACTGTATATGTAGATACAAATGAGATCCCCCTAAATGTCACACACTCTTCCTTTAATGTTGCCTATGATTTTCAGTCTCACCTAAAATGTTGCTTCTCATTTCCCATTTCTTTATGACTGAAAAACAGAAGATGAAAATGAAATGACATAATAAGGTAGCCCAAGTCAGCAAAGATGTGTAGTGCAAAGTGAACAAAGTGAAGGTGTGAAGATCTCTACTTTTGATTTTGAAACCAGTAAGCACAGGCTGATGATGCTTTGCTCATCTCATTTGAACTCAGACATTATGTTCTGCCTGCTGCTGTGAACGGATCCACTGATGTGAGTACACATATTTTGTAGATACACTGATGGTACTTTACATACAGTACATCGGAGCTTTTATAAAACATCAAAATAAGGATATGTGCTACAAAAGCTACAAAGAGGTGTACACTAGACAAGACAAGGCACATTTATTTATATAGCATATTTCATAATGCAAAAGCATCTGATAGATGGGCCTCCTTGCATAGACATGAGGAGGTGTTAAACAGTAGGCTAGAAACAGCTGAAGAGCATACTGAGAAGGATTGTATAGCAAATGTAGAGTAACTGTTCCTGTGTAATGTCATCATGTTCAGGTGTTTTACTACTCCACTGGGATCTTTGAGCGGGCAGGTGTGTCCCAGCCGGTCTATGCAACCATTGGTGCAGGAGTGGTCAACACTGCCTTCACTGTGGTTTCTGTAAGTTATAAACCCCAAACCAACACAGCCTCACATGTTTACCTCTAGGACTTTATACCTTCATGTAGTAATAAGATACATTCCCTCCTTCTGTGCAGTTGTTTGTGGTGGAGCGTGTGGGCAGAAGACCCCTTCAGCTCACTGGTTTGATGGGAATGGCTGTTTCAGCAGTTTTTCTAACCGTTGCCATGGCGCTGTTGGTAAGTGTTTGAAATCATCTTGACTTAATCCATTAGGCTTTTGAAATAAAGTGAGCGATAGACTGTGTGATGTTCTGTGTTCCTCAGGACCAGGTCAGATGGATGTCCTATGTCAGCATTGTGGCCATTTTCAGTTTTGTAGCCTTTTTTGAGATTGGCCCCGGCCCCATCCCCTGGTTCATTGTGGCCGAGCTCTTCAGCCAGGGGCCCCGACCTGCTGCCTTTGCCGTTGCTGGTTTCTCCAATTGGTCAGCCAACTTCTTAGTGGGGATGGGCTTCCCGTATGTTGAGGTAAGACAGCTTCTATTCAAATGATTAAATTTATCTTCAGTCCATAACTTTAGCTTGTGCTCATAATTCAAAAGAAATTATGTTATGCCTTTGATGTCCGGCAGCAACTCTGTGGCCCATACGTCTTCATCATCTTCACGGTCCTGCTGCTTGGCTTCTTCACCTTCACCTACTTCAAGGTTCCAGAGACTAAGGGCCTTACCTTCGATGAGATTGCAGCAGGATTCCGCCAGTCAGCTGGTCAGGGTGCTGACAAGTACTCGGCCCCTGAAGAGTTCAACACCCTCAGGGGGGACGACCCCAACCTTTGAAAGCTGCTGTACATTCACACACTGGCATGCAGCAAAGTTACCTGTTACACTTTTAGGACAGTGCTATCGTGTTTGAAATTTCCCATAAACTAATGCTAGGGTCGTTACATTAGAGCTTTAGTCTTCATACAGACGGTAATAAAGATGATGACCTGACTGACGACATCACTGGTTACTATAGGCTCAGTCTGTAGGAAGTCTGTTTTCAGCACTTGCCATGCTGGCAAGAATGGCATCACATTTAAAATGAATTGAGTGAGTAAATGAAGTGAGTGAGAGGCCGGGATGTGCTGCAGCAGAAAAAACAAGCTGGGTTAAGACTCCTGCTGACACATTCCTGCATCACTATGCACCCGTGAGCCTCTTTGCCAGAGATGGGCAAAAATACATCAAAATGTATTTTGATACAAAATACCCCTCAAATAAATGTATCAAAATAAAATACAAAATACTGGTGCCAGAAAATGTAACAAAATATAATACATGTATTTTGTATTTAAAATATAGGAAATACTTTTTCTGGATTTTCTGTTTTCTCACAATTTGGTATAGCAGAGCATTCAGGTTTGGGCTATATAATGTACACAAAGCTCTGGTGAACACCACAAAAAGGAAGAACAGTCACAGAATGTCAGTGTAACTAAGCACATCTGCTTGTTGATGGTCCTTCTTGAACATCATCTTGCTGAGACATGTTGTCCACCTGGCCGACTGTAGAATGTATGAAATAATAAAACTAATAATACTTTCATAATATGCCTTTTAAATAAAATATATTGGATATTTAATGTTTTTTTTAGTTTTTTTTTAACAAATGGACATCTACTGTCATAGCCTGGCTAACTGTGAACTATATTATCTGCCAGTAATTGTTATGGCATTATGACATTCACATTGAGAAGATACAGCATAACTTGTAATACAATGCAAGATTAGATGGTCAGACGTCTCTTGATAAAGTTATCATGAACATACAAGCTCCCAATCTCCCTCTTCCTATATAGCTAGTTACTCGACTGATAAGTTAACTTGCTAAACACTGGCTATGCACTAGCCTAGACAGCATGCTAGCGTCATTAGCATGTTAGCATCGATCGCTAGCTTGATATTATAGCCATCACCATGTGTATACAATAGGCTATGTAGCCAGACCCAGACATCAATTATACATCAAGCTAGTTGACATCTGTCACCAGGGGCGTTTCTAGGATTCAAAGAAAGGGGGGGCAGCGGCATGTTTGCGCCGCAATTTTTTTTGGGGCCCATTTGGGGCCGTGGATAGCCTATCCATTGTTTCAGACAGTTCATAGATTGGTTCAATCAGAAAGAGTGTGATTTTGCTCTGTAGTTTTGCTTGCATTCAGTATATGATAACACAAGAGACAGAATTTCAGGGTCATAGTGAAATTTGACAACACAAATATGAACCTTTCTCAAATAAAGAGAGAAATAATTTTCCTGCTTGTAAAGGAAAGACGGATAAACTAGTTTTCATATCCACATCACTCCCAAATCCTAATTCTTAAAGGGACCGCACACAATGGATGGAGAATGGACCTGACAGTGTCAACTTTATATCGTTAAGTATGATGATAGGCTATTGGATTGTAATTTGAAGGGGGAGAAAACATACAAACCAGAACGCACGCACATATGTAGCATGTTAGAGTTATAAATAACTTGTCCATGTGAGAAACAATAGTTTAATTTAATGACATCACCAAAATAATTTTTTCTTTTTTTAAAAATCCAATAATGCCAAATTATTTGGGGGGGGCTGAAGAACATTTTAGGCTAAAATGTTCTTCGTTAGGCCTTCGTTAGGCCTCAAAAATAGGCCTAACGACGCCCCTGTCTGTCACACTAAAATATTTACCTTGACAGACAATCCGTAGAACTTGAAGATCTGAAGACTGAACTCGTGAACTGTTTTTTGATTCGTGGAGAAAGTATTTTGAGTATTTTAAATACAAAATTACTCCACTCTAAAGTATTTTGTTACAAATTACGTATGATTTTTATCGGCCCTATCAAATACAAATTACAAAATACTCAAAAGTAATTGAAATACGTATTTCAAATACAAGTAATAGAAATACTGCCCATCTCTGTTTGTACCCAACCACACCACTTATACAAGTTGTTTTGTTTCAGCTAAACAAACGTTACAAACTCAAAATGAAGTTAAAATTTCATTATTTTCTTTACTATGTCAATTGTTTTTGTTTTATCTTTATTGTTTTCAATCAATGAACATATTTTTTCCTGGAGTAAATGACTTCATAATAGCTGAATCTAGAGTGAGAAACTCATACTGTATATTGTAGCCTTTGTATATGTACTGTATAATTAATTAACTTACTGAAGTCAGTGTCCCTCTGACATTTACATAATATATTCAGTTACATTTATATATTTACTGTATTCCTATGTAACGTCGCATTCATACCAATGGATATCTAAAGATAACTGAAATTCTGTGTATGTTCTATTTTTCTGAGCTGTATTCAAAAGGGTTGCTGTTGCAATAAAACAATTTCTTCACACAGATCATTAACATATAGCAATCCATAGGAAGATTTATACATTTATATAGATGGATTGTAAAGCTGCTGCATTCCAGTCAACACATTGTGTCTGACAGACATTACAGCAGGAGGACTTTGTTTTTTTACAGAATGAATGAACTGTGCTGTGATTTGTACATGATGAAAGGGTTGTGTTCTACAGATAAACTGAACAGTGTTTTAGAAAATATAGGATATAACAAACAGAAGTTACATTTGATTTTTTTTCTGCTAATGATGACAACCACCTTCTATAATAATTCAGTGAACACTGTAGGGTGAGGGTAGTTGGATGCAGTGGCGGGCCGTGCATTTTATACCTGGGCCTTCACTGCTGTCTTACCACCTAATAACCTCATGATGGCGCCACAGCTAAGGTTATTTGTTCCTAGGGGTGTAACATCACGTATTCGTATTAAATTATTGTTCGGTACGAGGCTTACAAACCGAACAATAATTCTAGTGCATTTGGAAAATGCAGAAGCTTAAATTGTGGTAAATATAATGTTTTCGGTGGAGACACCGGTCTGTCTGTTTAGTTTTCGGGTCAGCGTCTGACCCCGGAAGCAAAACAAAACACAGCTGAGGCACGTATGTTCTGCGAGGCTGAACAACAGCACAAACTCACGCTACATTCTCTCCGCAGCGTTTAGGCAGCTGTTCCCTACTGATTCAAACAAGGCTAAGCAATCGCCACACAATCCCCATTTCTCCAGACCATAATTCTTGTTTGTAAAAGAAAACAGCCCAAACAGATTAATTTATCCGGACCCTAAACCCACGCAGGATGGTATGCTTCGTAATTAACGGACAATGCATATGGTCAAAATCGATGTAATTAACACAATGACAAGAGCGAACTCACAAGAACCAGTCACATTTATTCACAACAAAGCATGACAAAACAATCCAGCAATACTCACACTATTGCAAGGGCCATTCAAATATTATTTACATCAGGGAACAATATCCATAAACGACACGATAGGCAAAATTAACACACTGCAGATGTAAAGAAAACAAAAGCAGTTTCACTTACCAAATGCTGTGGTGGGGGCTCTGTTGACGCTCTCTCCTATAAACACAAAGAAAGTCTTAAAGATCTTTAGGTATGAAGGGATAATAATCATGAAAGAAGTCATTGTGATACACAAACTAACATGTGCTTGGAGTAAATAGTGGTACACTGCTGCTGATACCACAGTTTGACAACTTGAGGGAGCAAATATCCATTCTACATTTATTGATTCCACCGATATAAATTGACCACTTGATGGCGACATTACACATTCTTCAATTAACGCAAACTATGACCGCTGGGGGCGCAAATGTTTCACTTTCACACAATAGACTGTCAGCCAATAATGTTTCGGGTGAAAGCACTACAGTGCAGCTCACCCCCAAGGTCGGCGGTCAGCACAACCAGAGTGCAATGGCTGGGCCTCGCCCTGGGTGACCCACCTTCTTGATTATGGTATCTCCCCTGCCAGGCAAGTATAAGTTGGAAGAGACAGAGACAGGGGCGGCATTCCTAGACACAGTACTCCGGATGACGGTTCCCAGATGGCATAATCCAAGAGTGCAGTGCTTTAGCATTAGCTTCCTTTGGCAAGCTGTTTCTGAGAAAGCAAACACAGCCCAGCAACCAAATGAAAGCCTAAAATCTAAGCATGCTAACAATGGAACAATCTTCGGAACACATTTCTCCCACAAAGAAGGGAAAATATCGGTGAGGAGAACACACAATCACTTTAGGCCCATCCAAAAGGCCACACCCACTTCTCTCTGCAAACCCGGGCAATTTGCATTACTCAACACACAGCTTCACAGCATACAACAGACACTGCACAGCAACACTTGCACTTTTCTGGACAAACTAAAAAAGAAATAAAAGCTACAAAAGGACCTCAACCCACAATCTGACTCGGAGGACAGAAATTCAGAGCTGGAAATTTCCCCCAGCAGTCAGGGCTGATGTATACAGTGATTTGAGGCTGGGAGCACAGTGATGTTCCAGGAGGGGCATCAGTAAGGAGTAAACAGGGCCTTTATTTGACACAAGTCCCAGCCTTGAAGACAGACAGCGAATGAGACTCGCGTCGTTCATTACAGAGTGAAGTTAATCAATACGTATCAGATATTAAACTGAAGAACAGATTTTTTATTGATTTTTTATTATCAAAAAATCATTACACAAAATCAAACAATTTCAAACATTCAACTTTAATATGTTTTGCTGCATGAAACCTAATTCAATTTCACAATCACATACCAGTAACCAGCATTTGTCTACAAAAAAAAACAACTCTTCTTTTAACTGAGTCCCTCATTCCCCTTGCATTTATAGTGAGAACCTTAAAAGAACCCATTGTGCCATTGTACAAAACAAGTTCAAATATTTGGCAATAAAGAGTTTTACTGAGTTTTACACTGCATATCTTTTCAAAACAACAATAACGTGCAACCTGTGCAAAACAAAATTAAAGCAGTTATGTGTGAGCCATCCAGTTTTATCAGTATTAGTGGCTGCAATAAGCTGCTTTCCACTACAAATCTTTTTAAAACGGGGTTGCAGACTTGATACGGCCACTCTCAATTCATGCTCAATGTTGAGCTTAGATCTGTATTTTTTTTTGAGAGAGGCAACAGCAGAAAAGCCGATCTCTCAGAGGTAGGATGTGGCGAAGGGAAGCAGAATGCCCACAGCCCTCTGTCCGATGAACTCACTCAGTGTTTGAGCTGTAAACCTCAGCCTCATCTCGATCTGATCGTCTCTTCATTTTGCACACTTAGCTACACATGTGAGTCGCCAACGATCTTGGCCGTCGCGCATGCGCAAGCGTAACCTGTTAACGGCGTAACGTAAACATTTACACAAAAATACAGGCATTTCGCCATGTATTTATTAATGACTTAGTTTTATGTCCGTGTACTTTGTACTTTTGTCATATGTGAAGTTCTCAATAAAGTTCTTGAAATAAAAAATTCTGCATTTCCCCCTGCGCCCCACCTGTAATACCACTGCACCCCACTTGAGGGGCGCGCCCCACAGTTTGAGAAATACTGCTCTACACAAACATAGAAACACCACTCGGCCTTGCAGCCATTCAAAACTTTTTCAATAAACACCCAGACCCAGCCAGACCAGACAAAGAAATCCTACAGTTACTACAAATCACCCTTACCAGAAACGACTTCGAATTTAAAAATAAACACTATCTCCATCTGTGCGGTTGTACAATGGGCCGGAAATACTCACCGTCGTATTCCGACATCTACCTGGCCCATTGGGAGGAGACGGCATTCACAAAAATCCAGTACAAACACCTCCTGTACTTACGGTACCTGGACGACATCTTCGGCCTCTGGAATCACACAGAACAGGACATTCATACATTTCTGGACACCCTCAACTCACATCATCCCAGAATCAAATTCAAACACCATATACAGCTACACACGGTCGAGTTCCTTGACACGCGGGTCTTCTTCAATGACTCCGGCGACCAGCAAAAAACACTGGCCACGAAGGTATTTTTCAAGGACACTGACCGCCACGCACTCCTTCACAAGTCGAGCTACCACCCCAAGCACACGTACAGATGTCTCATCAAGTCCCAGCTGATTCGCTTCCACAGGATCTGCACCTTCCCGGAGCATGTGGGGGAGGCTACCAGCACCCTCTTTGGTGCGTTGAGGCTCAGGGGGTAGTCGAAGCGCTTCCTTAGAAGTATTAAGGCGGAGGTTGCCGGCACCTTCAACAGCAACAACACCCCACCACGGCCGTCTGACCTATCCCTTGTTATAACATTCTCAGATTGTACGAACAACTTTTTAAAGACATTGAAAAACAATTTTCAGGGGACGAGGGACGACTGTGTTAAACAACACATTTATTTGATCAACGATCGTCCTCTACACACATTTTAAACTCCATGGCTCACACAATGTTCAAAGTGTGGGCCTTGAGAGCAAGAGACATTGGAGTGTGGTGCAACGGCGAGCAGCGGAGAGGAAATGGATACACAGACTGAAAACGATAGAACCTGACGGTCTGAATGAAAAGTATTAACTGTGTGTCCATTTTTTTAACCAGGTTTTTAACCTCTTTTAATAAAGAGTGCTTACACACCTTTACTGGTTTAAGGTACATTCTCAGCCTTTTATGCTGTTAAAATACTTTTCAGGCCTGGAAGAGGCCAAAAGTGGATTTTGTGAAAGTAAACATAGTTTCAAAGATTTTCTTCAAAAAAGTGTCTCAGGACAGTTGATTTCACTGTTTCATGATGTTTTCATTAGAATCTGATGCTTACACACCTTTACTGGTTTAAAGGTACATTCTCGGCTTTTTATGCTCTTAAAAGACGTTTCAGGCCTGGAAGAGGCCAAAAGTGGATATTGTGAAAATAAACATAGTTTCAAAGATTTTTTTCAAAAAAGTGGATTTTGTGAAAATAAACATAGTGTTGGAGCCATAATGTGGTTTTGTTGTTTGCTTATGTCTTTGAGGGAAACATGGGGTATGTACACATGCAGTTCTGACATTGAACAGTGGGTGGCACATTAACTTGAAAGTGCATATATGTAAGTGCCTGGTAATGAGGATGTGTGTGTGTGGACGGGAAGCTCACAGTTTTTGACCGTGTTATCGTGTTATCGTGTCAACGTGTCAAGGTATCTTGTCAATGTGGCGTGTCAGCCGGCATAGGAGCATGAAGTTTCAAGGTCTTATACTATCCTGTAAAGTATCCTGTATTCTGATACGGTTCCAATATGTATTTGAATAAAAGGATCAACGGATCTAAAGAAAGACAACGCATTGGACATTGAAATGTTGGTGGAAGTTCTCCCGTTCGCCCCCCAGTGGCTTTAATATATGAAAATGGATATTTGTTAAAGTCACTACAATTAAGTCAAAAACTGGCTTCAATTGAACTCGTAAGAATCGTCGTTCGTTGGATTGACCAGCTGATCGACATCGATGGATTCAACAGCTGATCGACATCGCGCGATTCAACAGCTGATGATTAGACATCGCTGGATTCAACAGCTGATCGGCATCGCTAGAGTGAACAGCTGATCGACATCTGATGAATAGACATCGCTGGATTCAACAGCTGATCGGCATCGCTGGATTCAACAGATGATCGATTGGACATCGCTGGATTCAACAGCTGATCGGCATCGCTAGAGTGAACAGCTGATCGACATCGCGCGATTCAACAGCTGATGATTAGACATCGCTGGATTCAACAGCTGATCGGCATCGCTGGATTCAACAGATGATCGATTGGACATCGCTGGATTCAACAGCTGATAGACATCACGTGATTCAACAGCTGATCAAATAGACATAGCTGGAAAGTTGTGGTTGCTTTGAAATCGAATTGGACAACTGATCATCACGCTACGATCAAGCTACGATTTCGGACCAATGGACACTCTGAATGGACAGAGGTATGTAGCGCTACCAACATGGCCATGTTTAAAGTTGTGTGCACACTTTTATTTCTGAGTGTAAATCCAATGCATTGGTTCCAACTTATAGGCCTAAGAGGCCTAGGGTGGTTTAATTTTGAATTGTATTTAATAAATGATGAATTCTGATATGAGTGTAAAGGTACAAAATCAAGGTTCTATTGTTAATGAGCCAACCGTGGCTGGAACACAGGTCAATCCCAGCACGGCCAATGGTGAAAAGGAAACACAACCTGTCAGTAAAGATCCAACTAAACTGACACAAAAGGCATTAATGGGTAAACTGGACAAGCTACAAAAGGTTCAGAAGGCCAAACTAAACAAAGCTTCTGACCTTAAAAGGACAATTCAAGACCTAATGCATGACAGAGAATATATAACAGAGGTGCAATGTACTTTTGATAAATACACAACTCTTTGCAATGAAGCAAAGGAACAACATCAATCTCTGTCACAAATATTATCTCATGAGGAAAAGGACAAACATGAGATATGGTTCAAAGCAAAAATGTTGAGTGTTAATGATTTTTGATGCTGTGAATAAGTGGTTGTCTAATGCAGACATTTTCAAACCTGATGATAATGATGATGCTTTTGAGAGTGAAGTCAAACCCAGTGACAGCATTTCCAATGTGGAAACAAATGTTTCTATTGAGAAATTGAGCAGAAAAAGTCACACCAGTTCAAGAACCAGCAAATCTTCTTCATCTGTACGGATTCAGATAGAGGCAGAGAGAGCAGCACTTGATACTTGCGCTGCAGCCTTAAAGGAGAAGCATGAGCTGGAGGAGCAATCGGAGTTGCTGAGAAAGAAAAAGGAAAGACTGGAGGTTGACACAGAAATGGCAGCCGTTGCTGCTAAATTAGCGGTATTTAAGGCCTCTAGTCACCAAGCTTTCTCAAACACACAATCAAATGGAATGGAATCTGTTGGATCCGGGGGGTTCTCTGGCCCGATACGGGCTACCTACTGACTCAGCTCTCTATTAAAAGATTGTCGAGCTGGTGTTCTGTCGAGGA